GCTGCGGGCCGCGGCTGAGGCTGCCTGTGGGACCGGGCTATTTCTGGCGGCGCCTCCCCGTTTTGTCAGGAATCGTCGCTAACCCAACGAAAAGCCCTGACAGGCGGTAACCGTGCCTTGCCACGAGGAGCAAACGGCAGGAGCTACTGCCAAGAGCAGCCAGTGCCTCCCCTAAGGAAACTCCGAGCTGTTAATTTAAGTGTGCTGTTTTACAGGTGGTCTCCTCCGACTGCAGGTTGGGAGCAAGTTCAGTGAGCGGCCTGGCCCTGTGTAAGGAGCTTTGAACAGGTCTTTTCCAAGGCACCAGCCCTTCCTAATCGAAAATTTGGTTCGAGGGTCATCTTTTCATTTTACTGTTTGCAACCAGGGAGCTGTCTGGAGGGCTGGAAATGTAGGGGTTTGTGCTCAATAGCTTGAAGGCTGTGCCGTTTCAACTCAAACTGAATGTGAGGCAATTTAATGTGCACAAGTGTGCTTTTATACTTTTCTGTAAACGAGAAACAATAATGCAGCTGGTTAGTTCTACAGGAATATATTGCTGACACCACTAAGAAAAAACTAACAGTTTTTTGTAGAATGTTTACAAATGAGCTATTTTTAAATTGTTTTTGAATAAATACTGCTTGGTACTTGTACACATGAATGTGCTGTAGTTGTCTGGGTCCATGATGGTCAGCAGATCACTGACCCTCACATAATCCATCTTCATTTCTAAATAGGTGGGTGCAGAGGTGAACTATTGATGGATAAATAATCATTGGTGCCTTATTTCAGAAACAATAATAGGTGAGAATATTTCAGGAATGTGAAACAATCTTTATCCTAACAGGCAATTCTCTCCTAGCCTTAGCCTACTAAAGTTAGAAGCTTTATGTACCTCACTGTGAAATAAAACATTTTGTGTATTAATCTAGATTATGTGTTTTGTGTAGCTGAGTGAGTAATATTAAAGTTAAACCCTTATGCAGTAGTATATAATGTTTGAGTTGTTTTGGTTTGTTGGTTGTTGTGGGTTTTCTTTTTTTTAATTAGGATTTTGCTTTTGGTTTCAGAGCAATGCTAATCATTTTATGGTCAGTTGCTCTCTACTTCTCAGAATTTTTCCTAAATATTTACAGAATGTGGTTCTGTTATTACAAAATATGGTGATTTAGTTTACATTAATAATTCTCTCTGTGTGATCTACAAATGAGCTGATTAAAGAGGTCCAAATCGGGATTGCACTTTAAATGCAAATGTTTTAGGAGGAGTTTGGTAAATTGCTGAGACCATTGATACAACTTCTGCTCCTTTGAATTTAATGTGCAACCTCAGATGAACTGTTGTGGAACTGAATGGCTTGAAGGAAGTGTTAATGTACTATGGAGGCATTTGTCACAATATCATGCATTCATTGCTGACCGGAGGTGTTCGTGACTACAAGTTGTTTATTACCATAATTGCAAGTAAGCAGTTTGGAGGTTTTCTCTCTTTTTTCTTTTCATTTTTTCAGATGAACAAGTGTTTACAAAAGATACCATAGTAACTGGTACCTTCAGTTGGAGTTCAGTGACTGAATAGAGAGAAAAGACTTTATGTTCTGAGGGAGAGAGTGTAGAGATCATTTGCCTTAATCTTTGTCTTTTCTATGGAGGGAAAAAAAATCAAAGTCTTGTTTCTTGGGTCAGTAGCAAGAAATCCTTTGGGATTTCATTTTGACA